TATTGCAACTTCTTGTGAGTCTTTAATTATTTCTAAATAAAAAGTTATTTTGTTTTATTGCTTTTCTGTAAAAAGCCTTTCCAAATCACAATGACAATTTATTCAACAAATATATGCTGAGCACATATTCCATGCCATACCATGCTCAAGATACTGAGCTTCCTTCTGTTCTGACATTAATAAGCCTCATTTTCCAATATTCAAAAAGTAATTAACCAAATAACAATGCAATTTTCACTTTTGCTATTCCTCTTTAGCAGAAACACAGAAATAAACATAAACTATTGGAATGGAATCCCAAGTATCCTAGCTTCATCCCCAAAGTTGGAGTTTCTTTTGTTGTTCAGCTGTTCAATTTTCTGAAAACCTGAACCAGCCAAATGCATTCTCTTTCTGAGTAGGATTCTGCCCAATACTCTGTCAGATTAGAATTGCACATGAACCACAGACCCTCTCTCATAAAGCATAGCAATGTTTCTCAACAGATGTACAATTGGAATTTTGAGCTTAATAATTTAAAATAGAATACAGCCCATGGGTAGTCCAGGGCAGAGCTGATACTTGCCTTCTCTGTGCAGCCCTAAGCCATAGTGCACGTTCGTGTGTCAATAATGAAGACCCAATTCCAGCCCTCCCCCTATGGCAAGGGCAGGACATCATAAAGCAGTAGCTCTCAACCTTCCTAATGCCGTGGCCCTTTAATACAGTTCCTGTGGGTCACGACCCACAGGATAAGAACCATTGCCCTAGAGCATAAATAATCTGAATAACCCTATGTGAGGACCTTCTGAGAATGTTAAACATCTTTGGCCCCAACACTATTTGACTTCAGTCAATTGTGACTTGATAGTTTACAAGAAAGTTACCTGTGCTCTCCCTTCCTCCCCTTCCCATTGTGTAAAAAATAGCTCTACTTCCATCTTCTGGTCACAGCCAACGACTCTTGCCAACATGGTAATTCCTCTTCTTGCCTGCTAAACCCTGCACACAGGAATTCAAAGAACCCTTATGTCACAAAACAACCTTTGCTATTTCCCCTGGCAGCAGTGACTTCCTTTGGGGAATGGGACCTCCAAAGTGCAGAGCAAGGTTAGAGAATCACAGAGCCCCACATTGGGTCATGGGGAGTGATGTTAACCGAAGCCATTCCTTCCTTTACCTTTTAGTTCTCAGGCCTATGTATATATCTTGTTAAGGACCCAATATGGTAAAGAGGGCTCTGATTCAATGCATATGCTATCTTTTGAAGGGTGGTATCCTATCCTTTAAGAGTGTTACATTTAAGCTGGTATTTCATCTGTTCCTGCAGTAGTTTATTTGAGGACAGCTACTTTTAGGTGGTGTAGTATGTGACATGAACAGTAGGTTCTAGAACCTGATCTTAACCTCCTTCACTATGACGTGATCTCTGGTCAGATATTACATTATGTGAGTTTCCATTTCTGTGAGGCAACATGAAAACTCTCAGAGAGTGGTCAGTGCTATTGAGTATGACTAAGAGGTCAGGAAAGACAAACTTATATCCTGAATAGGCATGTCATTGGGAGGATAGGCAGGCTGGCCTTGGAGGAAAGAAGGGGCTTAATGCAGTCAACTTGTCACTAAGTAACCAGTTGGTCTCCTCAAGAAATACAACCCTCCTGGGGGCTCAGTGTTGGTGTCCATTGTTGGCAAGTTGGACATTCAAAGTCAGCAGTAGCTAGATATGCCATGAGAAGTGCTAGTGTACCTCACTAACTAATGAGTTGTCTTACTCTCAGCCATTGTGGCCACTCTATTCATGTGCCAATTTTCCCAATACTGGGGTGACAAATGACAGCTGGACAAATCATTTTGTGAGTTTGTTCAGTGCTTCTTGTGTACTAGATGCTTTCCAATAAGTGTTAACTGTAACACAACAATCATCTTACATTGCACCGATTCCCACAGTTTCATCTGCATACCTGTCTCAGATCCTTGTCTCCAGTCTTCAAGTCCTGACTGTTGGCTACTGTGCAATTATTTAATATATACATATATATATATACACTCACTTTAGACCATGTTTTTCTTCCACACAAAATGGATAACGAGATGCATTGCTTGCAGCTCTACCCATTGAGAAGACCTCCCTTCTCCACTGGCTTTCAAGGCTACCCCTGAATGCAGCTACAATTCAGTGAAAATCTATTTTTGCTTTGCAGCTACATAGTGACTTAATTCATTTGTTAACAAAGATTGGGCTTTTACTTCCTCTTCAGCTAGTCATAGGGAACCCATAAATCTGAGCTGGGGCAGGGGCTCTGGTGGGTAACATGGGATAACATGGGGGGCATCTAGGCTGCCTGCTCATTCAGCCTCTTCCTGCCAATGTAGTCCTCTGTGGGCTTGATCTCAGAGGTACCACTTCCATCTTTCAATGGATGGCTGTAGGGTAAGACTGACTTTCTTCTTACTGTGTCTGAAAAACTCTAGTTTATAATTGTTAGTTCCAAATAATTTGATGCCTCATTATGAACCATTCATTCTCAACTAAGCCCAGAAACATTCTAGAAACTCTTAAAAGGTATATAATTTTACACTGCAGGTGACACATTATTGCTCCAGAGCCCTGGGGTTTACATTCTGATTCTTCCCACTGACACCTCCAACACCATAGAGTCTGCCAGGTCATATGTCCAAAGCAGTAGGGTTGCTTACAATGCAGCCCATATGTGCTGTAGAGCTCATTCCTGCTCCACACCAACTCAGAGCTGTGAGACTTCCACGCTGTTCATTGCATGAGCCAGAGCAATATTTCTAAATTTATAATGTGTTGCCTCCAGAATACATAAGTGGCTTAGCACGTTTCTTGTTTCCTTTACTAAGATAGGCAATGTGTAATACAACAATTTATCTTGTACTTGGAACTGAGGGGCTCACTACTCAACCACCAAAAACTTTTGGTGTGGCATGTTCCTGAATTTTAACAGGGTTTTATCTTCCACTTTCCAGGGTGTATGTGTCTTACCAAAGCCTCTAACGTACTAGATGTTGCTAGCCTCTAACGTACTAGACTTGCTCATTCTTCTCAATGATGTTGTTAAGGTAAATGGATCAATGTGATATTCTGCAGAATGCCCAGGTGGTCCGGGTCTCTTCACATCTTATTAAAACAGATATTAAGAGAGTCAACATAACTCTAAACAAAACTGAAAATGAATATTATGGTCTGTTTTATGTGAATGCAAATTTTTCCTGATATTTTTTATCAGATTAGAAAAGAACAGTCTTGCTAAACCAGTACCTGCATACCATGTGCCTAATGCTACACTGGTCTGCTCTAACAAAGATGCTACATGTGGCCATGTAGCTATAGCCAGGATTATTAACTTGTTTGAGCTCATGGTATTTTCCAATCATTCTCCAGCATCCATCCAGTTTCTGTAGAAACCAGTGAATTGAAGACTTCTACTTGGCCTTCCCTACTATGATGGGAAAACCATATGGGGTTACTCAAACTGCCATATGTATCAATCTCAATTAAACTCCTAGGGACTAAGGAATGACAAGCAACAATAAATCTAGTGGACCTTTCTACTATGGCCAAGATTCCACTTATTATTAATGCCTGGCCTCATGAAATTTCTCTCTTAACAATAGTGGCATTATAATGATGCTTCAGGTATCTGAGTTTCATGTCAACTCAGAGCCTATGCATAATAGCTCTATGTGATTCCCCTTTCTCCAGTGCATAGTTAACCCAAATAAACAGTCATAGGTCCCTTTGAGGAAAGACTTATGACATTATTTCAATACATACTTGCCATAGTATGTATGCAAGACCTGGTTTATAACTACTTCTCCTACCATCATTCCTGGCCTGCAGATAAAAGCCACCACTGAGCTTCTTGGGGACACTGGTGTCCCTCTCATTAGTGCATTCCTGGTAGTTTTCTTGAATAATGTGCCTTCTGAGTCCTTCCACAGAAAATAATTCTCAACACACTTCTTCTGGCTCCACATAATATACCCATTGCAGCATGCCTACTTCCTTCAGTCTTTTTATTCTTTTCTCTACTACCTATCAGAGCAATCCAAGCATTTCCATTTTGCTTGGGAAGGATCATCACTTTCTCTGGGCTTCTAAGAGCTACCCTAGCAGTGAGTTTGCCTTGCCTCTGGCATCCTTGACATGGTGTTAAATCTCTTGTCCCCCCAAAGCAACCCCAAGTCAATAAATTCTTGCTTGTCCAGTCTATGTTCCAGCCCTATCCATCAATCAGTGGAGAATCCCTGAAGCAGTGTTTTAAGAAAAATTCTGGAGAGTACAATCAATTATTAGTGATATTTATCGTGGAAGGATGAGATGGAGGTTTTAGACACATAGAATGTTTTGTCATTTCTACTATAGACATCTGTACAACTTGTACTGCTTGTAACTATGACATTGAGTATAGATGATCTATCCACAGGAGAACAAAGTTCTGACCTTGGTCTCAGTTCCTCTGTAGTTTATCCAACTATGATAATTAAATTAATAGTTCAGGCACTTGACTTCTGCAAGGGCAGATGTTGAAAGAAGGAAGGAGAAGACAGTAGAGAAACCTGGGGATAGGGGGACTCAGATGGGGGTGAGTAGACAGATAGAGGTCCAGCTGGCAAATAATGGGTACAAAAAGGGGAATTTCGAGGGGTTTTCCAAAGATAAAGATTTGCCTTTCTCAATTTTGCCTTCTTTTAACTCTCTCACAGTGCTTGCATTAGTACAGATTTAGATCCTTTTAAAACTCTCCTTCTGTGACTTAAAAGGTCAACTCTAGTATTAGCATGATTCCTTTTCAGTCATTACTGAAATCCTTCCTAGCTGGTTACATCTACGTGGTAACTAGCTCTTACAATAAAAGTTGAGGCACTCCTATGCTGCCTTTTCCTCAGGGCCATCTGATAGAGAAAAGGAATCTCCTCAGGAATTCATTTCTATTGCAGTATAGCTGCAATTTGAAAAACACTGAATTTAAGCACTTATGTGTTTTTGTTAGACTCTTTCACGGGACTGGTCAACATCCTGACAGATATTATTTGGCGATTCACTGGAGACTTCATGGCACCTGACCTGGTTTGCCGAGTTGTCCGCTATTTACAGGTATGTAGCACTTCCCAGGTATGATGAGACATACTAACACCAATGTTATCTCTTGGATTCATGATAAGGAAAATAATGTAAAACCCAGCACTCCTATGCAACAAACTACCTACTTTTTCTTAGGTGAGAGAACAAGCAAAATTTGAATGTTTGTTTATTAATGTACCTTTTGTGCTAAAATTAATTCTTATATAAAAAAAATAAGCAATAATAAAAAGGTATTCACATTTCACGCATTAAGTAAAATGTTTGGATCAATACTAAGATTTTTGACATAATGTGGACAAATAATGTCCATAAAGTTTGCCAATTATTTTCACCCCTCAAACTAACTGGCTACTGGTTTCTTTTGAGAAACTTGGGAGAATTTAGTAGAAAATTAGCATTATATATTTACTTACCACTTAAATTGCAGTATCATCTATTTAATTACCTCTCTAAATCACCTATTATCCTTTTAAAATATGTTTATACTGGGGTACTTGTTATTTTCTGAGTTGTATAAAAATCTATTTTTAGGTTAAAATATGCACGTCAATATCCTTCATTATAAGTAACATGTATATAATATGTATATTTTATTTAAAATATTTTTTAATATATTTTATTTACATATATACCATATACTTGCATTATTATCATTATTTTATTTATTTATTTATTTATTTATTTTTTAGAGACAGAGTCTCACTTTATCACCCTCTGTAGAGAGACGTAACATCACAGCTCACAGCAACCTCCAACTCCTAGGCTTAGGTAATACTCTTGCCTCAGCCTCCCAAGTAGCTGGGACTATAGGGACCCACCACAATGCCCAGCTTTATGCTTGCATTATTAATGCATAATATATGTATAATATAGATTAAGACATTTTAACTAAGTATGGAAAGAACAGACCATTTCATAAGTGGTGTTAGAGTTGTACCCTGTTTCTGAGTTCTTAAAATTATTTTTCATTAATACATTTTATTCTGATACCAGTACTTCAGATCTAAATTATTATAGCTTTACAAATGTATAATGCATGTGTAGAAAGCCTCACCCTAGCAGATTCCATTGGTTAGTAAGATTTTCTAGGATTTTTATCTCTATATTCATAAGTAAGACTATGATTTTTCATTTATTTTATCATTTTCAAATCTTGGTGCTGGAATTACTTCATCTTTAGAAAATGAATAAGGAGCAGTTACAATTATAATCTCTTTTCACACTTTGAATATAATCTGAAAGATCGATAGGTGTGAAGAATTTCCTCAGGAGCAAATTTTTATACCATATTGTAATTTCTTCTTGAGAATTTTTGCTTCCTTATAGATAAATGGATGTTTTAAATGATCTATTGTATTAGTAATCAATTTCTGAGTCACAAATTATGACAAAACTTAGCAGCTTAAAACACTTAAACATTTATTTTCTGACAGTTTCTATTAATCAAGAATTCAGGAACAAGTTGGCTGGGTAGATCTGGATAAAGGTTCACTCAGATGTTTCATGGTACTACAGCCATCAGAAAGCTTGAAGGGGTGAGTCAATTCACTTCCAAGGTGGATCACTCACAGACCTGATAAGTTAGTGCTGGGTTGAGCAGAATTCTCACCTCATCTTGACATATGTCACATGTTTCTCCGTAGGTACTTTTTAGTGTCTTCACAACTCACTCCCTATCTTTTCTAAGAAGAACCTATTCAAGTGACCAAGGAAGAAGCAGCAATGTAGTTATGAACTAGTCTCAGAAGTAATACGTTATTACCTCCACATTATTACTTTGGTTTCACAAGTCAATTTCCTCCTATGGAGGAGGGAACCAAAAAACACCAGGAGGCAAGGATTTCTAGGGATGTGTTGGAGGTTGGTAGCTATGCAACCCTTAACACTTTTTGAAATCATGTTATAACCTATGTTTTCTTTTGTTAACCTTGCCTTAGAAATGTTCATGTCAGTACCATTTCTTCTAACTATGTTTACAATGAATATTAAGATAATGCTATATATAAAATGTATATTCATGATAAAGCAAAAATGGCAGAGAAAGAAACTTTAATTAATTATCTTTCCTATAAAAGGAGTGAAAAAACTGACAAAAATTGTCACAATCAAATTTTTCAGAACTCTGGAAATTAACCATCTTACAACAAGCCAGGAAGCATTTATTCAAGAAAAGGGCTAAATCTCAATAAGAAAAATGAGCTGTGTAGTATTTTAGTTTGCATTATTTTCATCCCCAAGAATCCAGCTCTGTGGTAGTCTTCAAACTTAATGGCTCTCATTCATGGTTAAAGCAAACAGTCTTGAAGCCATAGGAGACCACAAAACAGGCTAGAGCTCTTTCAAAGCTTATTCCCAAGAAATTGCCATTATTTGACATGTCTGACAGTTCTCTGGAAGACCCCACTTGCAAGGCTGTCTGTATTTTACTTAATTCAGCACTCACCCACTGTGAAAAACCTTTTTTCTCTAGGCATTTGTCAAAAGCAATTATAGGCAATTGATTAAGTTTGCAGATGCCTAAGGTATTAGATAATAGTTGAGGAAAATAATAGACTAACCAAAGCTTAAAAACATAAGCTGAGTAAAGAGATAGTCACAGGGGCTTTGAAAATTTTTGACATATTACTGAGAACATAGAAGGCTAAATACATTCTCAGAACAGTGCTCATATTCAGGAAGAACTAGAGCAAGCCCTGAGATACTGCCTTTGACTGACCTCAAGGCTTTGTGCAAACAGGAAGGTGAAGGCAAGGCAGAACTGTGAGCTGCCTGGCTGAATGTCAAAACATGCCCAAGCATTCACATAGAGCCACTCTGCAACAACTGAGGGGCTGACTAGTTCCAGAAATTTAAAAAAATCATCTATTTGGATGACATTACCAAAATGGCAGAGTGGGAAATTATTAACACAAAATAAGTGACTAAGGAAAAAAGTCTCAATCAATGGAAGTTAATTAACACAAAGTTGAGGATGCACCTGGGAAAACCACAAACACAGTCAAAGCTGTGGCTATTTTTCTGAAGAGAAATTTGGGAGTTTCAGCATTTAAGACAAAGAAAGAAAAAAAAGGTGGGGTGGGCTAGTGAGACAAAAAAGTTTCTTTCTCATGAGACCCAGGAGACCCTTACCTTTTATGTAAGATAAGGTGAACATTAGGGGAGAAAAAGGAAGTGAAGGAACCATCAGTTATGTAGATGTCCCTAGGCAGATGGAAGAATATGTGATCCTGCCTTGTCTCTGTCCTGCATCTGTGAAGATAAACTCATAACTCGTTATTGTGTGGAACTGCAACAGACTTTAGTTCTAGGAGCAAGACATAACCTGCAGACCTAAAATTACAATTTGCATGCCCTGTTTATAAGAGACCAGCAAGGAATTTCCTTGATGAATGTCTGTGGAGCCAGTTCTTCACAGGTGCCTGAGGCCTTTACCTTCTCTTTTGCATACTGAGTTAGGGATGTTGTCTTGAGCTTTTTATTTTCTTTTATAAGATATTGGCCCTCCTTTCCCCCAATCAAAATTTTTGTATAGACAGCTATTCACAAACTAGCCCAGAGTGGGCTGAAGTGCTCATTAAAAAGTCTGCAGGAACACAGTGGTTCCAAAAAAATAAATAAATAAAAAGAATACTCACATAGAAAGGATTGCTGGTGAGACTGGTATACTTGAGAGACCAGGAGATAGCTTGATAGCTAGGAGCAAAGAATAAAAGTAGAAGCTGCTGGTATCAGACATGTGAAAGAACCAACATGTTCTCTAGCTACCTGGTCTGCAGAGGACACCAGCGTCTTTTCCCCCTTAGTAATTAACAGCCATTCCTGCCAGAGAACCCCAGAAAGGGAGACACAGTTGCACACCTCTTCTAACTTCCAGAAAGCAGCTGCAGTTGATCTGCTTCTGGAATGTGGAATGGTGTCCTTCTAGCAGTAGGCAAGCCCTATTCTGGAGCCAAAGCTACCCTGTGAGTGCCCACACTTCAGAACCAGATTCTGTAGCTATACTAAAGCCATGACTATGGTAAACTACTTCACACTCCTGACTCCAAAGTCAAACTCTCCCTGTATGTGCCCTTACTCCAGACACTGGCTCAGCTGTCTTACATAGCTGGGTCCCACCTAGACCCTAGAACTACTATAATTCTAGGCATATCTGCACTCTCATTCTTTTCTCCCCTGATAATTCACAAATGTATTGTTACCAACATGACAGCAGGGCCACCTGCACCCCAGACAGCAGCTTAGCCACTATAGAGAGCTGGTCCTGCCTAAACCCTGAAACTACTCCAACTCTATAGAAGGCAGCATTCTCAACCTCCTTGTGGTTTCACATGTACCCATGCCTCATATATCATCAATATAGCAGAGGGGGCACACACACCTCAGGCACCAGAGCCATTATAACTCTAATCTCAGAGCCATAGTTACTCTATGTTTGCCCATGCATTAGGCCTCAGTTCCAAGGCCATTCCATGAGTGCTACTCTTCAGATGCCAATGGCACTGCCACCATGATTAGAGCCACAAGCTAGATCCAGAGATAAGGGAAATCTACTTAATCACAATATCTGTGGTGGGAGATAAACAAATCATGAGGATCTTAGAACTCATCACTACTGAAGACCCCAACAATTCTTGGTACACCAACATCTACTGCTTTGGCCACTGAGGATTGCTAAGATCTTTGTCAACACTAATCTGAGCTAAAAAAGCTACACAAAGACTGTACAGATATACCATCACTGATACCAGAACCAGTGCAACCCACTCAGCCAGCACACTTTCATTCCCCTGTAGGGCAATGTCTTTTCATAAGGAACTAGACATTAAAATCTAGAAGAAATGACTACTTCACCAAATACCTACATATCAACATAAGGCAAAAAGAAACACTTAAAAAACCAAAAAGACATAACATCATCAAAATAACAGAATAAACTCCCAGTAATTGACCCAAAGAAATAGACATATATGAGTCACCTGATAAAGATGGAAAAATTATGGTTTTAAGGAAGC